ATAATAGGTTCATGCTGATCCAGATGATCTTGGTAAAGGTGGTGTTGAATTATCAAAAACTACAGGAAATGCTGGTGCTCGTCTTGCTTGTGGTGTTATTGGAATTACAAAAGCCTAAATATATCTTCTGATACAAAATTACTTTATTATTATTAGAAGCTATAAAATATTATGGTTATTTCAATTTAAATATGAGTTCGTACATCATTCCTAATTTCTTGTAATTTAAATCTTTTAAATATGTAATCTGCTTTCAATAAAATAAATATTCTAATATATTTATGTATGAGTATATATTCTATATATAAAATAAATTTCTTTGTATATAAATTTTTTTTTATGCTATTATAATTATATGTAATTTTTGTTATATTTTATTTTATTTAATTTATATTATATATATTGTTTTTAATGAATAATATTTTGCAATAAAAAATAAAATGCAATATATATATTATACATGGCATATTAATTGTTTAAGATAAATAACATTCTCATTCGCAAAAATTTCTTTTTCCTTGAAATTTTTAGTATTTTTTCCTAAATTTAATGTTCTTTTCTTCAAGTCTACAATTATGGATTAATGATAAATTAGCTTCATCAGTGAAAGATTTTTCCACTAATTTTCTTACATCTGGAAATAAAATGTATTATCAAATTGATACATATATAAGGAAAAAATGCATGCACAATTTGAATTTCGTTTAAATTCTCTTAAAGCTGAGTTCACGCGATAGCGTGAACTAAAGTAAGTGAATTGCATTTGAACGATTCCACTTGTTCCGGCATTCCTTGTTCATTGTTTATGTGACGTGGTGATACGTTGACTGGTTGTTGCCGGTTGTGTTCAAGTGGAGTAGAATTGAAATTGTTTTGTTTACTTGGTTATTGTAATTTTTATAAAAACAGTTATAACCATGTTGCAATCTATATTCGATGATGTGCGGCGAATGAATAAACGGCAGGTAAAAAATTTTTCTTATTTGAATTATCATAGATTCTTAAAGTACATATGGTCATTTGAAAGAAATGATCTTTATAACTATTTATGAATCTTTTTGCAGTTCCTGTATCAAATGTTAAGTTTTGGTATGATCGTTTCATCCGCCTTGATGATTTGGAAAGGCTTAATGGTTGTAACAGGTGCCGAAAGTCCAATCGTTGTGGTTCTCAGGTATTTGAATACTTAACCTAATAGTTGTATTTGATGCACCTTTCGCGCGAATACATTCATTTTTAAAATATAAAATTATTGATTTTATATAAAACATTATTTTCTTATATTATATAATACATTACTATATATTAGATATGATTATTTCAATCAATTCTCTAATGTATTAAAATTAGTCATATATATTTTAAATTATTTAAAAATTATAAACACAATTAATTACTTTTTATAAAAATCAAATTATACGAAATATTTAAAAATATTTAATATTTTATAAAATTATATTAATTATATTTTTGTATATTGTAATTTTATTCTCTTAACCTATATATAGATTTAGCTTAATTTTTTAATATTTTAAAACATAATTTTAATATTATAGTGGTAGTATGGAACCAGCATTTCATAGAGGGGATTTATTATTTTTAACCAATTACCAAGATGAACCAGTCAGAGTAGGAGAAATCCTTGTTTTTAAAGTTGAGGGTAGATATATTCCAATTGTACACAGAGTAATTAAGATACATGAAAAGTAAGTATATTTTAAATCTTAATAAAATAAAATAAAATGAAAATAAAAATTATTATACTTATAAATATAAATTAAAATATTGAAAATTTATTAATTATAATAAATTAATAAATTAATATATTCTAGGGGCGACCAAAATAATACTGTTAAATTTTTAACAAAAGGTGATAATAATTCTGTTGATGATAGAGGTTTATATGTAACTGGTCAATTATGGTTGACGCATAAAGATGTTGTTGGTAGAGCAAGAGGTTTTTTACCATATGTAGGAATGATTACAATATATATGAATGAATATCCCAAATTTAAATATGCAATATTAATATGTTTGGGATTATATGTTATGGTACACAGAGAATAAAGATATTTCATATAGGAAATTATATGAAATAGACTATCTGAACATCTACAAAAAAGTGCATTGTAAAATTAAATCTTAATTGATAATTCAAATACACATATGGAGCTATGTACAATGTGATTTTATGTCTTGTTGATTTCATACCAATTGAAGAACCTTTTGTATGCAAGAGGTTAATATAATAGTTTTGCAGAATTATATGTATATTTACAATAGTAATAAAAGAAAAATTAAAATATATGTGTAAAGCAACAGTACTTTTGTACTGTATTAAAAAAATGTTCTGCCATTATTGGCAAAATTTAATGTACAAATGTTTTTATTTTCAAGTAATACTCTTCTATTTTTTTTTTTTGAAATTTATTAATATATTTATTTAATTAATGTAAAAATTTTTATTGGTAATGCAATATATTATACATATAAATTCAATATTTTACATTCATAATTGCATTTATAAAGTACTTTCTAATTATAAAATAAGAGTTATTATTATAATGCATATATAACATGTAGAAAATATAATTGATTTTTATTTATTTTCAATACCAGAAGATTATAAAATCAATAAGTATTCTGTATAAAAAAGAAAGAAAAAAGAATAAAAAATTTGGGAAGATGAACATTAAAATGTAATTAAGTAAATTTTTCATTTTTACAATATATAAGATTAAGCATATCTTCCCTACTTTCTCTAGAATTGCAATATTTGTATATAAAATCTTTCTTTTATGGATACTGAATATTTTAAAAATATTGAAAATTTTTTTAAATCATTAAAGTATAACTAATATTTGTTTGTAGACAAATCTTCTAAAAACCTTTGTATATTAATTACGTTTATTCGATGTAATTTTTGTCTCTAATTGTCACAAATTATGAAATAAATTTATAGTATACAATTGCATATGATGTCTTATTTTTCATCTTAATAGTTTATTTTATTATTTATTTGAAATAAAAATATACATTTTTTCTCAATATTGAGATTAACCATATTAAAAATGCCACATATATCTTTTAAAAAATATGATAATAAAAAAATATGTATGAAAAGATCAATAAATATTTATCAAATAATTATTTAAAATAAATATATATATTTATTAAATATCAGCTAAAAGTGCATACTAATCATATTATCATTACTAACCAATCAAAATTATCGATAAAAATTAAATTGCAAATTCATTCAAATAATAATATTAACTTAATTTTAATGTCTTAGATAGTCTTTGACATTTGACCATTATAATAGAAATTATAAATTAACCGATTAATAATGGTTGATAATAATGCATATCAGTGTAACGTTATATCAAAATTGATAAATATACAATATATTTATTATATATTAATTCAATATTAACATATCAAAAAGAGAAATAACAAAAATATATATAATAATATATAATAATAAAATTATATATAATGCAGGCCAAAATATTAAATATTATTATTTGTAAATTATTTATATAATTTATATTAAATATAATTATAATACGAACCCATCATTTCTATATTTGATATATTTGATATTGATTTGTTATGAACAGTTTTTTTAAGTATTATTTTTACTCGAACCGTACTTTTACTCGAATCCATGTTTTTTTAGGAGTAACAATTAAACCTGGTTGTTTATCATTAAGTCCTGTCGGTTCACCTTCCACAAACGAGAAATTAAAATTCTGCATTAATACAGCGAATACCTCAAACATATTATATCTTGAATAAGTTTCACCCGCACAAACCCTATGTCCTAAGGTAAAAAGAAAAAAATTTTATCATATAATATAATATCGATTATTGAAATTCATCTAGAATTATTTACATACCAAATCCAAACGAAAAAGTAAAATCTTTACGCAATTCGTTATTTTCATTAAGAAATCTTTCAGGTCTAAAATTTTCGGGATCACCCCATAAATCAGGATCAGTATTTAGCGCTGCTAAATTCGTGACAATCAATGTATCTTTAGGAATATCGTAATCACAGAGGGTAGTTTCCTTTAACGTTTTATGAAATACACTAAGTGGTGTCAATGTTTCGTATCTGAGTGATTCGCGTATTGTTGCTTCAACATATGGTAAACTAAAAGATTTTTAATCTTACAATGAATTCTTTTTTTCTATATTATTAATGAAAACTTATGCCATACTTTTTTCTGTCATTCCATGTAACGATTCTTCCAGTTCCAACTACTCTGTCTATTTCTTTTTGTATATTTTTCATTACTTTTGGATGATGCATTACAAGTTTGATTGCATGTACAAGAGCACTTGGTAATGCAGATGTAGCTGGGAACATGAAATCGACAAGA